AACTTTGCTGCATTTGGCTGAATCTGGGCTGACAGTATATCTCTAAACACTGCAGAGATCATCTGGCTGCTTCTGTCACATCATCAATAAACACCAATGACCCAGTGCCACTGGAAGCCATGCATGCCCATGCCATCACACTGCCTCCACCATGTTTTACAGATGTCATTGTGTGCTTTGGATCATGAACTGTTTCAAGCCCTCTCCAAACTTTTTTCTTCCAGTCATTCTGGTACAGATTAATCTTAGTTTCATCCATCCAAAGAATGCTTTTCCAAAACTGGTCTGGCTTCTTTAGATGTTTTTTGGCAAAGTCTAATCTGGCTTTTTTTATTCTTTAGGCTTATGAAGAGTTTGCACCTTGTGGTGAACCCTCTGTGTTTGCTCTTGTGACGTCTTCTCTTGATTGTAGACTTTGAAAATGATACTCCCACCTCCTGGAGACTGTCCTTCACTTATCTGGATGTTGTGAATAGTTTTTTCTTTACCATAGAGAGGATCCTGCGATCATCCGCCACTGTTCTCTTCCATGGATGTCCATGCCTTTTATGTTGCTGAGCTCACCAGTGCGTTCTTCTTTCTTCAGAATGTACCAAACTGTTGATTTGGCTACTCCTAATGTTGCTGCTATTTCTCTGATGGATTTGTTTCATTTTTGAAGCCTTACAATGTCCACTTGCATGGACAGCTCCTTTGAACGTATGAAGTAGGTTCACAACAATAGATTCCAAATGCAAATACCACACTTAGAATCAACTCCAGACCTTTTACCTGCTTAATTGATGAAGAAATAATGGAGTAGCCCACACCTGGCCATGAAACAGCTTTTGATTCAATTGTCCAATTACTTTTGGTCCCTTGAGAGTGTGCACTTTCGGCCCATATCCAATATATAATTATAGCTTAAAAATGTTTTGGTAAATACCTGAAAAAAACTAAAATTGTGCCTGTGTCCAAATATATATGGACCTAAATGTATAAAACGAATGCAGCCACCTCATATACGAACTGGTAAGCTGTAATAAATTCAATTTTTGCTTTTAGCTATAGGTTCATTTAAGGTACATCCATCATATTTGGACTATCATTGATGCCTTCCTGAAAATGCTAGTTGCCCAGCTGCCCCATGTTTCAATACATATCAGGTCAGAAAAATATGCAGAAAGAGTTAGGGTGAAGTCAGATTTCCTGCTCTGCTTACATGTTCAAGACAAGTTGCTTATAAAGTACTGAAGTCCGAAGGTTAATATGCTTGGCAGATAATCAGCAATTAGAAAAGACCAATAATTGTCAGCCCCTGTATTACTCTGATTACAGGTTTCCCTTATTAATTATTGACAGGCTACCAACAAGCAAACTGAAATGAACAATCAAATTTACTTTATGTGTGCACCTTGTTTTGTGTTTGTGAGTCAAACAAATATTATATAATAAAACTAAAAAAAAAAAAAATCTTTTTTTCTTAATTAATATACAGCTGTCACCTGACCCAGCTCTTTCTCATTCTGTCTGCAGGGAAATATAAGCAGGAGGAGCTTCTAGTACTCTGCTACTGGTCACATACTCAAAATAAAGAAAAAAAAAAAACAGCCTTCAGGATACAGTGTAAAAATACATATTTAATATCAATAAATTGTTTTAAAGCATCACACAAATATATCTATGAAATGAAATTTGTATTATTTTTGGCAATACCATGGGTTTCTGACAGTCACAGGCTGTGTCTTGCCTCTCCAGCCTGTGTCTTAGAACAGTGTTTTTCAACCTTTCTTCCGATCAGGGAAAATGTATTTTCAGTCTTGAGGCACCCCAGTCCAAGGCTTGATTCACTGAGTGGTGGGAACATGTGCTAAATCGCACACATTCCCAACATGGAGACAAATGGCCTGCTCTTTAGCAGAGGCACAGGGGTAAAATTAATTCTTAACAGTACCCTCACTTGGCAAGCATAGTACAGTTTTAGCACAACACTATTTTTAAAAAAGGGGTTGGGGACTTACAGTATTTTCCTGTGTTTCTGTGGGTAGGACAGCCTACTGAAATGAATGGGCTGCCCTACATGCTGCAAGCAGATGCAAATATGTGAACAAAGGACTCACATATGAGGTTGGAGGCCAGTAAAACCACATTGTTGAGCTGTTTTTACCATCTCCCAACTACTCCTCCCTTAGCTGCAGATGCAGGAGCCAGGGTCATGCATATGGTGTGGCTGTGGCAGAAAGTATACCCCTAGGTGAATGGGGCTTCACCGCAACCACCCCCCAACAGCAGGCATTGCACATGGGTGAAGTACAATGATGCTTAATTTAGGGAGTTAAAAGAGTCATTGAAGAGTTGACATATCGACCACCTCTGCACCGCCTGTCAAATGCCTCTAAAAAGTGATCCAAGCACACATACATACATACATACATACAAACAAACAAACACATAGATACATATACATACAACACACACACACACACACACACACACACACACACACACACACACAAAGACTATAATGTCCCATGTTTTTGGTGCTTTTTCTGAAAGCGCACCAAAGATGCAGAATGCAGGACTTTTGGTGTGCTTTCAGAAATTGCACCAAAAATGTGGAACACAATAGATGTCTCTGGGAAAACACAGAAAACCCACATGATAACTGTGGGTACCCTGCACTGCACCTGTGGTGCGGCCAAACCACAATGGGGCAGTGTGAATGTGGTATACAAAATGAAAGGAAGTGCAGCATTATAGTAGTTACAGACCCATAAATACCACATATATAATGATGTGAAACAACCAGGGGCGGACTGACAACTCATGGGGCCCCCAGGCAATAGGGGATCATGGGGCCCCTGTGTCCTTGCCCACACTCAAAGCACACCCGAAAAAGCCTAAAAAGGTATTAGGGGCATTTCATGGGGCCCCCCTTAATGACTCTGGCCCCTCGGGCACTGCTCGAGTGCTCGAATGGTCAGTCCACACCTGGAAACAACATTTACAAAGTAATAAAAACCCCATATGAAAAAAAAATATATGCATTACATGTATAATAAATAAATTCAAATATAAAGTTCAAATGGTGGTTAAAAACACCATGCCTGCAATTAGTGATAATAAGTTTCAATGTGTAAATTACTACTTCCATGAACAAACATAGCCTTGTAGCTCCAGAGCTCATAGTAACTCATGTGCAGCCAGCCCATTGACCAGCCTTCTCCCTCTTTCACTTCTCTCACACACACTCACATGGAGTCCACAACTACTCAGACAGAACAGACAACCAGCATATCCCAAAAACCACCAGAGCGGCAACCCAGAAAGCTGTGCAGGCACCCGACCAGTCCTTGACAACTGATGACATCATTAGTTGGCAGGTCATGGGCAGGCGGCCCCACAGACAGAGAGTCAATGTGGCTCCTTCATACAAACGAACCTGCATGAAGCAACAAAAAAAAAAAGTTTAACTGCTGGCAGTGAGAAATGTTTCAGCAGATGCCTGCAGTAGTAAGGGCAAGTTTTGGTCCTTTTGCCACGGCACCCCTGGGGACTTTTTGTGGCACCCCAGTTGAGAAACGCGATTTTAGAATAAAAGGGAGATAAAGCCTCCATCAATCAAAATGTAAGGAGGAGGGGGAGGGAGTGGGTTGTCAATTACCACTGAGCATATGCCCACATGTGTGACTATGTAGTGACATGGGCTGTTCTGATGTGCTAGGGAGGAAATGCTCAGCATAGAAACTCACTGAAAACTGAGCATGCGCAGTAGCTGTCAACACTGCTCTGCAAAATCCCCAGCTGCCTTGGGGACATGATCAAAAGAGAGAGATAGAGAATAGCAGGATCAACCAGGTTTTATGCAGAATACAGAAAATGAATCCCATAGTGAATGAGATAGTATGAACAGCATGTAATACAGCATTTATTGATAGTTTTTTATTATGTGGGTTTAATTACACTTTAAGTGTTCTTTGGACCAGAAAGTTCACCATGAATGTGGGACAACAATAGTGGTAATAAATCACACAGACATGATTAATAAGGAATTGCTGTGTTGTTAATTCAAGTAATACTTCCCTGCTAGATTTTAGTGATGTCTAAAAATGTCCCTCTGCAGGTGTTCTCTGGTACGGAGTCTCAAAAGAGGGAAAAAGCTCCTATATTTTCACATCTCTGGTTGAGAAACTAGGGGAATTCAAACACTAAAATAATTTTCCTTGGAAGAATGCCGAAACTGGTCAGAAATGACGTTAGACGCAGGAATTGCAATCGCGTATGCTGGAAGTGCCACAGTGGCCATTTTAAAAGTGGTTTCAAGCGGTTTTTACACTGAATGTTTGTAAGTGCATAGATTTGAATAAATAAATATATAGTTTTATAAGGTTGTACTACACTATGGCCGCTGTGGCCTAAGGTGCATGGAGTGACATTATTAACCACTTGTCTACTAGGCACTTCTACCCCCTTCCTGCCCAGGCCAGTTTTCAGCTTTCAGTGCTGTCGCACTTTGAATGACAATTGAACGGTCATGCAACACTGTACCCATATGACATTTTTATCATTTTTTTTTGAGACAGAGCTTTCTTTTGATGGCATTTAATCACCTCTGGATTTTTTGCTAAACAAACCAAAAACAACTGAAAATTTTGAAAAAAAAAAAAAAAAGTTTTTTCTTAGTTTTTGTTATAAATTTTGTAAATAAGTGATTTTTCTCCTTCACTGATGTGTGCTAATGAGGCTGCAGTTATGGGCACTGATAGGCTGCGCTGGTGGGCACTGATAGGTGGCACTGATGGGCACTGATGAGAAGGCACTGGTAGGTGGCACTGCTGGGGATGACAGGCCTCACTGATGGGCACTGAAAGGCAGCACTCATATATGGCACTGATAGGCGGCACATATAGGCGGCACTTATAGGTGGCACTGACTGGTACTGATAGGCGGCACTGACTGGCATTGTTAGGCTGCACTGATAGGCAGCACTGACGTGCACTGATAGGCGGCACTGATGCGCACTGATAGGTGGCACTGACTGGCACTGATAGGTGTCCCTGTTTGGCAGAACTGACAGGTGGCACTGACTGGCATTGAGGTAGGTGGCACTGATAGGTGGCACTGAAATGAAGCTCAGATGGGCACTGATATGTGACATTGATGTGCACTAGCAGGCACTGATATGTGGCATTGGCATTGATGAGGCACTGATGGGCACTGGCAGGTGGCATTGATGAGCACTGACAGCTGGCATTGATGGGCACTGACAGGTGGCAGTGCTGGGGCTACACTGATCATCAGAGCACACTTATCATCAGTGCCCTGATGATCAGTGTACATGTCCCCTCCGAGGAATTCCGATTACCGGCTCTCCTCTCGAACTGTCAGCGTGACAGTTCGTGAGGAGAGAGAGAAATGCCGATAACCGGCATTTCCCTATTTACATGCAAACAGCTGTGATTGGAAAGAGCTGATCACATGACCGAGCCGACATCTTCGGCTCTTTCTGTTGATCCACTGTGTCCAAGGGACACAGCGCATCACTGATCACCGCGCTGCGCACTCCCAGAGCCGCGCAAGCGCGGTTAGAGTGGGAGTACATCCTATGATGTCCTCCCAGAATGAGAGAAACGCCTTGCGCCCATCATTGCCTTATATGGCGGCAGGAGGTGGTTAAACACTTGCATGCGGTGAATCTGAATCAAATAAAAGGATATGCACTATTTTGGTGGTATGGAAATGAGAGTGGTTTTAGGATTACATTTCAAGTGTTGTTTATAAGTGATATCACGCTATATTACTTTTTATCTTTTGGGGACCATTCACACAAGTCATGCTTGTAAAGAGCAGAAAGAAGGTGGAATGGTTTATTAAAAGCATAGCTTATAGGAAGTTTGGTAAGGAGCTTGGAGTGTCTTTGGTGAGTTGATATGCTTGGTGGATCCTTCTATGGGTGTTAATGGGAATGCACAGTTAATATATGTGAGTGGCTTTCTATCATTTTTAGAAAACAGTATTGCGCTTTATTGGTATTTTGTATTTTGGGTGAAATCATGTGGATCTTCATGTGAGACGACCATTGAAGAATCAGAATCAAAGAGACAGAAAGTTGAATTGAATCTGAGAATAATTGATTGGATATACACCAAGTACTGTATATGAAGGGTAAGGGTAGATAAAGAACAACACTGGTGAACAAATACACATATGGTTATTTATTATAATTGTGTGCACATTGTACAGGATTTGAGGCATGCTGCATTGAGCATACTACACTATATTATATATATTTTTTGGACATCAATGCAGGAAGACTGGATTGACAGTTAATGGATATATGATGCCTGATCTTCAGTTACACAGAGACAATATTGAACTTATTACTTTGAGAGTGCTTGTCACTTCTATCATTGCCATCTCTTTCTGTGAGGGGAACAGATTGACTCCAACCAATAATAAGTCCATACTTGGTATTATGAATGTGAACGATGATGTAAGATGTCTTTTGTAGGATGCGATCCAAAGAGAACTTTAAAGATGTCACTGGATCCTGACAGGTGAGTCTTGATTTAATTAACAACTTTATATTTCAATCTGTTTATTGAGTTTTGTATAAACAAGAAGGATTACCAAAATACAAAACCACCCAATTCAACAGACATAAAAAGATACATAAGGATAAGAATAACAACAATGATGTTCACATGGCTAGAACTCACAATAGAGGAAGGAAGTTTCAGCCAAAGATAACTTCAAAATAATGCCAGTGCAGGTCAACCACCGGTTAGCCCCCTCAAAAAATGTAAAGAGCAACATAAGATAAATCAACTGTCAACAATACTTTTAACCAGGGAATAGCATGAATATACTGTATATTAAAAAAAACCCTGAAAACCCCACTGTTATAATTGACAACTTTACATTTCTTTTTTGATTGTGTCTGTGTTTTTGTTCACTATTGAAGACTTTCACGATTAATTTATTCATGGTCCATAGAAAAACTAGGACATTGAGAGACCACCTTTTTTCCCACCATAAGCCAAGCCACTTCCCTTGCTGATATTTCTCTTGAGCATTTGGTGTGCTAAAGAGCCCAAAGTGTCCTTCAGCATTGGGTAAAGGTGCTTTGGGAATGGGTAATATTTTATATGGAGAACCCCTTTTAAAGCACACACTGCCCAATTTTGAATGACATATGAGCAACATTGGGCAGACTGCATGCATGCGTAGGAAAGGGATTTTTTTTTTTTAATAAACTCACTATCACAACCCTGATAAATGTTCAGTGTATGATAAGTGAATATGCAAGTACAGCATATTAAGGATTTGCACTTTCATAAACAGAGTAAATGTTACGGGAAGTTCCTTTTTCCATGGAAGAAACAGATGTTGCTGAATATCAGATTATGTGTATTTGCTCTGAGTGAATGCTGGATAAATGTACAAATGAATGTTCTTTATAAATACTGTGTGATGAATGTTAGGCAAATATTTTTCACATATGTGGTGAATTTGTCACCAAATCTTTATAAATATACCCTATAAAAAAATATTAGCCTCTATGAAAAATGAAAAAAGAATGAAATAAAATACCTTTTAACACAGAAAAATATCAGTGAGTTATACAGCAACAGATGTCAATGTTAGTTCTAATGTTAGAAATGATTACCATAAAGTGCTTCATTAAAAATACTGAAGTGACATCTGTCTAATTGTTAGCTTTGCTAATTGATACTCCAAATTTTTCAGTAGGACAAGAGCGTAAATTTCCTTCCATGATAGTGCCTTTAAAAGGATAAGTTCACCTATCATAACATGATTTTCAGGGTGTAACATGTTATGAAAAGACCTCCCCTCCCCCCACCTCTCCCCCCACTTTGACAGCTAGCGATGGATCTTCTCCTCCCGCTAGCTTTCAAAATGAATAAAAAGCCCTCTGTGAATGAGAAACTACAAGTCACAACATCCTTAGGGGCTGTCAGCTTGTAGTTCTCAATGAGCTCCACAGCGCCGTGGTAGTTCATTGATTCTTTCTGTCAGTGTATCTGCTTGCCCATACATCCCAAATGGGCAAGCAGATATAATGACAGGTCTGCAGGAGACCTGTTTGGCACTAGTGATCTGCGGATCACTGGTGCAATGGTTTTCAAGCTCCTGCAACAAAAAATAATAAATACACATTTTTTTACCTGCAAAATAATGTGCATTTATTATTTTTTAACAAAATGTGAACTTATCCTTTAAAGCTGAAGCTTATGTCCTTATATTTTGCCTTCCCTGGTTGGTTTCTCTCCCCCTTATCAACATGCTAATAAAATGTTTAAACAAAAACCTCTTCATTATATTCCTAATTTTAAACTCAGGGGTATCATCACTGGGTCTTTGCGCTTTGAGCTGGCAAGTTATTGGATATATTGTAGTTTTCTAAAAATATCACAGTATTCCTCTCAAGAGCCCTCAGCCCCGATGCATGCAAATATAAAAATGCTGTGATGGGCAGATACCAGTTAGAGGAGTGTGCCTTCTTTTCCATTCAGACTATCCTGGATAAGTCCACATATGATGATTACCCTTCATGATTAACCACATCCTTACCGCGCTATAGCTGAATGACGGCTACAGCACAGTTGTCCAGTACTGGGTGGGCGTTATATGACGACCTCCCAGAACACACCCTCCCGCGCACCCCCCCCCACACGTCCTACGGACACAGCTGATCACATGATGATGTAAAAGGCAAATCACAGCGGCCTTTTACCACGTGATCAGCTGTGTCCAATGACACAGCATATCACCGAGTAAATACAGTTGTCGGTTATCAGCAGCATTTTCCTCACGCTGTCACAGCATGAGGGAAGTACTGACGATAACCGGCAGCTGTCACAGAGCAAACCGACACAGATCATCAGGGCTGGTCATTGGTCCTCTATCCACCATAGAGCCCAGATTAAGTATCTTCTGACTTCTACTTGTTCAGTACAATGAAGGACAGTCTTAGGGGACAACAATTTGATGACACAGAAGAGGTGAAAGTGGATGTGAAGAAATGGGTACAACAGTGTACACCTGAATTTCTTTAGAAGAGGATTCAAGAGTTGGGTTTAAGGTTGGCACAAATGCATCACTTGAGATAAGAATATATAAAATACTACTTTTGTACAGGGGAAGAGTTGCTCTACCAACATGTGAAATTTTAAAGACTTATGCCAGTTAACAAGAAAGTTAGACCCACTTTTGCTTTACTTTCAGTCCAGCTCTTGTATTTTAAGCCTTTAGGGGGACGGAAGGACCTAGTTATCTTATCTTGAACCTCTCTCTGTTTCATACAGCTAGGGCTGAAGTGCCTTCTAAACCACTGCTAAAAAGTGTGATGTTGCCACTAAACAGATGTTCTATGAATACCCTTTTGATCTTGCTTTAAAAGTAAGGTAGGTTATTTCTCTCCCTACTAATACAATCTCTCATATGTTTCATGCAACATAATCTCACAGATTCAGGGTACCCAATGTCATATAGGAACTCTATGCAGAAATTTGTCAGTGATAGAGGTATCATAAGTGACCAGCATAGATTTATAACAGTTTTTTCTTGTTAGACCAATCTGTTATTGTTCAATGATGAAATATGTGAAAAATTTGGAGAATGGAAGTCCAATGGACAATGCTTATCTAGATTTTGCTTTGGCATTTGATACTGTATCTCATAAATGTTTAATCTATAAAATAAGGTCAGCTGGGGTTGATGAAATTGTATGTACATAGACAAGAAACTTTCTCTGATTGGTCTAAAGTTGTGAGTGGTGTGCCCCAGGACTATGCCTTGGGGCCAGTGCTGTTCAGTTTGTTTAACCCCTTGATGCCAACTGCATGTAAATTAGTGGCCTCACAGAACTGGGCTTTTTTCTGTGAGGCTGCTAATTTGTGTACCTGTCGTTCTGCTGGTAGCGCGCCGCACAGCACGCTTCCAGCACAAAGACCGGGATGTCACTGAGAGCCTAGGGGCCCGTTCTAACGATCGAGAACCGAGAACTCTCAATTCTGGGTCTCCTGATCGCTGTGATAGCCTCTAATTTGCTGTCACAGTGACCTGTGTATAAAAAATAAATAAAATAAATAAATAAATACTAATAATAACAAAAAATAAACAAAAATACCTAGACCAAGGTTTGATCTAGGTCTGTGCCAGGGTTAGTGCTTTGGTCAGGGTCAAAGGTTAAGGTCATTTTTTTAACCACTTCCTGCCTGGCCTATAGTAAAATGACAGCAAATGACAAGCAAGTGTACAGGCCCTTTTTCCAGTACCATGTGACCTGCTGTGACCAATCACAGCAGGTCACATGACAGTTGTATACAGTGGATGGCTTCCTTTCATGCCATCCACTGTATACAAGTGTGTCTAGCTGTGAATGGTCACAGTGATCACATGCACAGGCTGGGCCAATCAGAGCCAATTTTTGTCATGTGATTAGCTGTGG